ATCGCGGCGGCGGGTGGCACGCTGCAGGCTGAGTGCAGGTTGACGCTGGGACCTCATACACTCAGTGCCTACAAGACCCTTCGAGTACGAGTCCGTATGATATCTTACGTGGGTACCTACCACTCCCCAGGTGAGTACCATTATGAGTACCACTTTCCAGGTGAGTATCAGTATGAGTACCACTCCTCCAGGTGAGTACCTTTGCTCTTAGCGAGTAACACAGCGCCTACAACTTCCCAGGTAAATATATGTAATTACTGCGGCTAAGTATTGTAATTACTATAACAATCATCACCCTCTTGGTCAGCAGTTGCTTAAGCCAACCAACTTAATGCCTCGCCTTGACGACTTCCTACCCTAAACTTTTTTTCGTGAAAGGCGACACAATTGACCTACTAAAGATTCCTCTCACATCAAACTGGCGAATGAGAGAGACCTATCAAAAGAGCGTACTGTGTTTACCTGCCAACTTGATTCAGACAAGACAACATCTCATGACACCGTTTCGCCCCTTGGACCAACACACAGCGCCTTTTGACAATAAGCTATATCACTGGAGATGAGTGAATCACCAAGCAAATGTAAGTCAGTGCATTTCAAGTTAATTTTCCCTAACGAAAAACAGGAAACAGCGGTAAAGAAACATGTTACTTGGTTCAGCACATTACGAGATGTTTGTCAGATGGTCACACCTTACGTGTACAGGTACGAATAATTTATTTCATAATTAATAATGTGATAATTAATACTGCGTTGGATACGATAAACAATAAACTGTAAGTATATTAGTATTAATTTAAAGCACAGAATAATCCAACAGCGACCTAATTTAAATATATATTAATTACAGCAACGGATTACCAGGGATTAAACAATAGCTTTGTGGACAGAACAAAATATCACCACTGACTTAGTATGTGTGAAGCAAAACTTGATAAGCTTTTCGGATCATATGAAGATTAGCCCTCAGTTTATTTCACCTCAAGATTTACAACCTTAACGCTAACCTAACCTAACCAAATCTAACATAAAATAACCTACCTAAACCTAATTAAACATAACGTAACCTAACCTAATCTAACCTAACCTAACCTAACCTAACCTAATCTAACTTACCCTTACAAAACCTAACCTAACATAAACTAACCTACACTAACTTAATGTGACGTAATTAAACCTAACATAAAGTAACGTAACCTAACCTAATATGACCTTCAGGTGTTTAATAACCAGGTGAAATAAGTTCATCCGGGTGACTCAGCTTATATCTTTACCATATGAGTTTAAAAGATGTCCACGGATTTACACTCACCTGAAAAGAGTAAAAACAATAAATTAGGGTAATAAAATAAAAATATATTACATTAAATTAACAAAATGGTTCATACACTTGTCACAGTCATCATGGTTATTGAGGTCAAGAGGAAGTGGATACATTATTACTTAATCGTTACGTCATTATGGTCATTAATTAATATATCATCTAACACATTAACTACACGTATGATCTCTTTAGGTAAATTTATGCCAGGTTTTGCTATGATTTTCCTTTAAGTTATAACTATCATTGTCATTGTTAAGTACCAAGATTAAGGCTAATTACTCTCACTAAGGACAATGCAGCAATATTAGGGCTCTCAGGAACTTAGTGAAACGTGGGTGGCGATGTCCGTAGAGTTTATCAATGTACACGTGCTTGCACCCAGAGACACAGTCCTGCGTACTATCCTGGGACACTCTCTCGTGGGCACATAGCGACAATTTGGCATTTATTGTTGTGTTTACTACAAAGAAAAGAGTCGGTGGTTCGATCCCCAGGCACTCCCAGTTCACCCAGCTGTAAATGGGTACCAAAGATTACAACTTGGGGAAGTGAAGACGGTCGAGTGCAGTACCGGCCATGCTGCCTCCTTGTGTACTTAAGGCTTAGTATACAGTGTACTGTATCCACACTGTCCTTAACTGGAAGCCATGCCTATGGGACCCACTTTCACTTTTTTCACTACAACGAGTCGCAAAATTCTTTCAGTGATTCTGGAGTTTAGTGACTGAACGGTCCTGCAACAAATTCGTTTGTTTCATATAATATATCACTTAGACTTAGAGTAAATCCTTCACAAACTTTTTGTCCAGCATCAGACAAAATGGCAGTGAATAAATAAATTCTAAATAAAAAGCAAAAATATTTAGAAAGCGAGAAATACTGTATATCTAAAGTTATTAGGACAGTGTGTGTGTGTGTGTGTGTGTGTGTGTGTGTGTGTGTGTGTGTGTGTGTGTGTGTGTGTGTGATAGGTTCGGCAAGGTTTCAGGGGGTTCGGTCAGGTGGTGATAAAGATATTCTCGGATTAAAAGATACGAAAAAAATAAAGAGACTTTTTCACAGTAATTCACATTATTACTTAATCGTTACGTCATTATGGTCATTAATTAATATATCATCTAACACATTAACTACACGTATGATCTCTTTAGGTAAATTTATGCCAGGTTTTGTTATGATTTTCCTTTAATTTATAACTATCATTTTCAGTGTTAATTACCAGGGTTAAGGATAATCACTCTCACTAAGTACAATGCAGCTACATTAGGGAGGATTTTTTTTTACGGGCATTAGCCCACCCGGGCACAGGTAATGACCCACATCAGGGCCTGGAGGGGGGGCGAAAATATAATAATAAATAATAATAATAATAATAATAATAATAATAATAATATCGATTATCATTATTATTACAATAATTAATAAAAGTAATAGCAAATTAATAAACATAAAATAATCAAAATAATCAAAATAATAACCATAAATAAATACAAAATTCAAAGAATAAATCAAGAGTGAGAAATTGTACACATTATATATGTTGTGTTGTCCAAGTAAGAGAAACAATTGAGACCCAGCAATTGTGTGTAAATGAGGCATAAAGTCAGATGAGCAACCTGGGACTTGGTCACAATTTTTGTGGTTCCATATGGCAGCAGGGTCTACCATTTGACAACACATTATGCTTCCAATATCTTCCCAGGCGGTAGTACCTCCCTGTTTGGTAGCTGCCTACTACCTACACGAGGCTCTCAGGAACTTAGTGAAACGTGGGTTGCGATGTCCGAAGAGTTTATCGATGTACACGTGCTTGCACCCAGAGATACAGACCTACGTACTATCCTCGGACACTCTCTCGTGGGCAGATAGCGACAATTTGGCATTTATTGTTGTGTTTACTATAAGGAGAAGAGTCGGTGGTTCGATCCCCAGGCACTCCCAGTTCACCCAGCTGTAAATGGGTACCTAAGTTTACAACTTGGGGAAGTGAAGACGGTCGAGTGCAGTACCGGCCATGCTGCCTCTTTGTGTACTGAAGGCTTAGTATACAGTGTACTGTATCCACATTGTCCTTAACTGGAAGCCATGCCTATGGGACCCACTTTCACTTTTTTCACTACAACGAGTCGCAAAATTCTTTCAGTGATTCTGGAGTTTAGTGACTGAACGGTCCTGCAACAAATTCGTTTGTTTCATATAATATATCACTTAGACTTAGAGTAAATCCTTCACAAACTTTTTGTCCAGCATCAGACAAAATGGCAGTGAATAAATAAATTCTAAATAAAAAGCAAAAATATTTAGAAAGCGAGAAATACTGTATATCTAAAGTTATTAGGACAGTGTGTGTGTGTGTGTGTGTGTGTGTGTGTGTGTGTGTGTGATAGGTTAGGCAAGGTTTCATGGGGTTCGGTCAGGTGGTAATAAAGATATTCTCGGATTAAAAGATACGAAAAAAATAAAGACACTTTTTCACAGTAATTCACATTTTTCACACAAACTAAAGGTTGAAGAGTAAATCTGTTCGCACCATCACAGAGCAGACAAACAAGTGAGTCTGAAAACACTGCGTAAAAAAAATAAATACTTAATTTCAATGATACAAAACAAATGAAATAAAAGGTGAATTAGGAGAATTTATTATTAGTTGACGATTTTAACACAATTTTAAACTACGACTTTGACTTGTTAACAAAACGATTTGAGTTTCATACAACTGGAGAGATTTTTAATTATTGATAACTGGTGTACTACTAAGCTTGAGTACGAGCTTTAAACCTTACATGTAAAGAGCAGTAATACATTATAGCAGCAATATGAATATAATGCTAAACATTTTTGATACTAACTCGTCTCATCAGTATCATTACAAGAGTTTATACACCAATCAAATTCTCTCTCTCTCTCTCTCTCTCTCTCTCTCTCTCTCAGAATATATTGGCGTCACGGGTTGCTGATCAATTCATAATAGTTGTTTGCTTACATTAGGTACCTCTATCTATCTATCTATCAATCTATCTATCTATCAATCTATCAATCTATCAATCTATCTATCTCACAAACTAAAAATGCTAAAAATAAAAGAACCGTGAAAACCTGCCTCTGAAAATTACCTCAATATCTTTAGTCACATGATGGTGTAGAGAGACGGTGTGAGGGATAGTCCAGCACTCTCCTGGGTGATGGCGGCAAGATGACTCATGTATGTCTTTCTTACATTACACCTATTAGACCAAGTGGCTAGATGTGTGTGTGTGTGTGTGTGTGTGTGTGTGTGTGTGTGTGTGTGTGTGTGTGTGTGTGTGTGTGTGTGTGTGTGTGTGTGTGTGTGTGTGTGTGTGTGTGTGTGTGTGTGTGTGTGTGTGTGTGTGTGTGTGTGTGTGTGTGTGTGTGTGTGTGTGTGTGTGTGTTGGCTTTTACGGGCCCGAAGAGCAGTAATAATAATGACACGTAAAATAAAAATTATATAACCTTTATTTAGCTTCATGATGTCTTTGTTTATGTAAGAGTCATTAATGTCTCTTTGGCTATCTATCTATATATCTATCTATCTGTTTATCTATCTATTTATTTATCTATCTATCTAG